CATAATGTGGTGTAGTCATGAGGTGCTAGTTCAAATTTAAAAAATGCTTCTACAAACAAAGTTTCATCTGCAGATATGGCCTTGTTTAGGGATCTGTGCCTTTGTGCATACAGACATCTGACTGCCGAGTAGTGATTGTGTTTTTCAGCAATAGTGTGCAACTTTAATTTACAGAGAAAAGAAGGTCTGGGAAAAATCTCCATACAAGTTCTTTGTGCATTTTTCTTTTTTTTTTACTTGTTACTTTGCACTTTTTGTTAGAAAATTTTTATTTATTTTTTATTCAAGTTTTTTAAGGTATCTAATATTTTGATACTTAATTTCAATGATCTAAATATTCTTCAAAATTAAAAGTTTGTTGTCATTTGGAAGTGTAGGCCTTCTTGCATTATTATGCTGTTACATTATGATTATATGTTCAGTGGCATAAAATGGTCTTTAAAATGACAATAATATAGTTTATCGCAATTATTTCTGGGGCAATATATCGCACAACAAAAAGTTGTTATCGTGACAGGCCTAACTTTTACATTGTTACAAAAAAATATTTTTCATATAAATGCTGTTATTTTTTAATCAAAGAATCCTGAAAAAAACATTTATGACGTTTTCCACGAAAATATTAAACAGAACAACAGTTTTCAACATTGATATTAATAACAAATATTTCTTGAACATTAAATCAGCATATTAGAATGATTTTTGAATGTCACGTTACACTGAAGACTGAAGTAATGGCTGCTGAAAATTCGGCTTTGTCATCAAAGGAATAAATTACGCTTTAAAATACATTAAAATTGAAAACAGTTATTTTAAATTGTAATAATTTTTCACAATATTACCGTTTTCCTATATTATTAAGTAAAAAAAAGCAACCTTAGTGAGTATAAGAGACTTCGTTCATAATCATTGAAAAATCACACCAAACCCAAACATTAAATGTTAGTGTACATTTTATAATAAATACATTTCCATACGTCTTGCTCACATAGTGATGTCAGTGAATTCTGCTGTTTATGTGAGTGGGAATCTTGAGTGTCTGGAATTCTGCAGGAATGTTCCCGCCTTGGCAAGCACAGTCGAGACTGTTAAACAACCATTTTGCAGAGCAGTTTGTCTAAGACCTTCATATGAGAAACTACAAGTGAGAACCTGTAGCCATAATTCACTATGAGACGAGGAGAATGACAAATTAGAAAAGTGTGTGTGCCGTGTGTGTGGGGAGAAAAAGTAGAATAGCTGAGAGACAGTATATATGTCACAGAGAAGGAAAAGTTGTGCTCTTTTCTTACAGCCATGATTACGGTTATATAATAGCACTAACCATTTTAGTCTTCAGGCCGTCCACCCTCACAATATCCCACACAAACCAGAAATGTTGGAGACTCTTTGAAAAGAATGCTGTAACCCCAACTACTGTGTGTGTGAGTAAAGTGAAGAGCACTTTACGAGATTGCAAGCATGGTGCCATTTGTACAGATTGAAGGGTGTGTGTGTATAAGTCTATGAATTGATGAAATGCCCGTTATTGCAGCATGACTAAACATAAGGAAAATCTGATTGTGTGTATGTGTGTGTTTGACAAGCCACAGTCCAGACCAGTCTGAGCTAGATTATGAGCTTGCTAGAAACAACTTGTTCAAAGTGGCAATCGACTTCAATTCATAAAAATAATTCATCGCTCTGATTCCTTATTTATCATGTTAGGGTCACATTACATAACAATACATAAGAACGAAATGACACAGACAAGCTAAACTGATCCACTTTCCCGCTAAAGCATTTTACAGCAATCCACAAGATTATCCAAGTCCTGATGGGCAGTCACTAGACGACCACCGTGGGACAGCAGGCCACTTGATCTTCACAGACAGAGGAGTGTGATTGAGAGACACAGATGGAACATGAGAGAAACATACAGAGATGTGTCTGTGGGACCATGAGAATCGAAGTGTGAAGAAGCGAAAAATGGGACGTTAGGGTTACACAGAATCACAGATGGCATTGCTGAGTGAGGGTCAGCAGGAGGGTGTTGGGACAGATGGACGGGCACGAGGCCATATCGGTTATTAGGGTGGTGCAATAATCCACAGAGCTTGCCTTTATAAAAAGTAACTGAACAGCAGAAGTTTGTGTAGTAGCAGAAGTCACTGAGATGGACAGAAATAACCAAGGATAGAGAGACAGAAACATTTGTCTTTCTACGACTTACAAAACTCTCTAATATTGAATGTACAGGCTAGTAAATGGTTCCAGCATTTATAAAAGGCATTTATTAAAGCCAACAATCCAGTCTACAGTACAGGAAACATTACAGAGCCAAGCGGCCAAACACCAGATTGCAGAAGATTATAATAAATTATTATAAAGATTATTCATGTTAAGTAGAATGTGATGTTCTGATTTAAATGTATTTTACGGTAGGAAGATGATACACTGTAACAGAGAACAAAATTAGCATTCCTTTCATTAATTATTCACTTCTGACATCCTGAAAATAAAGCGAACTTTTGCAGACAGAGTAAAGTTACTTTACAAGAGCAAATAAAGTGTAACATTACTAAGAGAATATAGTGTAATGTTACAGAGAGAATATTTAGTGTGCATTATTACGACGCAAATTCAGTGTGACATTACTGAAGAGAACACAAAGTAATGTCACAAAGGGATTGTAACCTAACGTTGATAAAAGATCAATGTAACATTATGAAAAAATATATATAACATTACACTGAACCCACTGCATAATAAAACACTATTCTTTTCATAAAGTTACATTGTATTCTTTTAGTAAGGTTATGCTATATTCCCTTTATGACATTACTTTGTATTCTCCTTAGCAACGTTACACTGAATCCTCTTCATAATGATAATGAACACTATAACTTATATTCCATGTAACACTGTAATGTTATTAAGAAGAAAACAAAATAAAGTCATAAAAGGGAACGTAGTGCAACATTACTAAAAGAATGCAGTCTAATATTATTAAGAGAATATTTATTGGTTCATTATGAAGAGGATTCAGTTTAATACTCGGTGTAATATAAATATAAGAACTGAAAACAATTAAAGTTAATCGTTGCTAAGAGAAAAAACAGTGCGATAAGAGACTAGCGTAACGCTGTAAACATACAGTGTACCATTATGTGTAAGATTCGGTGCAATATTACAACAAATTCAGTGTAACGCTAATAGGAGGATTTAGAAAACACACTGGTAACATTAATCAAGAGTAAGCACACGGTAACCTTGTATAGTGAATACAGTATGAGGACAGTCGAATGGAGAATCAGAATTAACGTTACGTCGGTTACATTCGCCTGAAGTCAACGACACAGCGGACACAGCGGACACTGCATCGTCCTGCCCTCTCTCACATTTGCTCGGTTTCTTTAACAACGGCTGTATAAAAAAACTACAGGCCTTCACTTCTCGTCCCAGCTTCGCTAGATAAAGGCAAGGTTAGCTCTAATCTGAAACTCCCATCGCTGGTATATAGGCTGTCCAAACCCCAGGGCCACTGCCGTGTTTGTAAACAGGGCGCAGATAGCCCTCTCTTTACGCGCACAATTTCCCATTCACCAGCAGAAAAACAGATCACGACAAGTAGCTAATTACCGGGTATGTTTATATAAACGTTAAAATGCCTTCACTTCCTAACAGCTCACCTTCAAGAAGCCGAGAAATGAGACTGTCGACGTTTAATTCCCCCTCCGCCATCTTCAGAGCCGAGTTCTGCATGCAGCGCTTCCAGCAACGGCCGCTAGGTGGCGCTCGCAATGACGTCATTCACTTAGTTACAAGCGGTTACGTCAATATCAATGATCTCTTCGTGAATATTTAATCGCTTTGAAGGCCAACTTTTGACCTGTTGAAAGCAACTTAAATGTTAATGGTATTTTCTATTGTTTAACGTTTGGAGATTTGTGTATCTGGTTTCCCTTCCAGGAGGATTTTTTATCAGAGTACGTTGACTTTTGGCATTTATTTTTTCACTTAGGCTATATTTTATATATAATCAGTAATAATTTATTAAGCTTGATTCGGATTACAGTGTGTTCTGTGAGTAAAATTAATTACATTGAAAATAATTCATTTTGTTTATTGTATTTTTTGCAAGCCATCACTTTCCTGTGCTTGTGTAACAAAATGCTCATAAATATAACACGTTTAAATAAAATTTATCTTAACTAAATTTATATTAACTGCTCATGTAGGTTGTATATTATGATAATTTAGTATCCCAGAGGCTTCGCTGCGTTACTAGCGAAGCTGCCATCCTCTGATCACTTAAAATACTTGAGAACTGAATCAGAGGAGCATGAAAAGAGAAAAACGGACGATACAGAGAAGTTAAGAGAACATCTTAAAAAAAAAAAAAAAAACAAGTATTAAAAAAAAATAACACACACATGAAAAAGTATATATTCAAAGTTGCAATTCTCTAATTCTGTAACAAATACAGGGAAATAATAATCTATAAATCTTTCAAAAAACAATATACCAAAAATAATTACAAAAATACTGTTGAGCAAATTGCACTTTAATTAAACAACAATTAAACAAAATAATATTTTTTATTTCACTACTTTATTAAAATAAAAATATTAATTACAACGGTCTATACAAGTATTACAAGTATTTATCATTTAAATAATTTACACCAATACATTAATTTATTGACATATAAACACTTCATCTTGTTTTTATATCTAGGGTTGGAATTCAAAAATGTTCTCAACAGGAAAATCTATTCATAAATAAAATATATTTATGAAATATATATGCTTTTAATATAAAAAAAAAACGCAAAAAGGGAAAGCTTAGGGGTGGGTTTAGTCTATACATATATATATATACAGTGGGTACGGAAAGTATTCAGACCCCCTTCAATTTTTCACTCTTTGTTATATTGCAGCCATTTGCTAAAATCATTTAAGTTAATTTTTTTTCCTCATTAATGTACACACAGCACCTTTTTTTTTTTTTAAATCTTATTAGAACTTAGTTCCATTCATTTCTGTGCTTTCGTTTCTCTTTCTGTTCTTTCGTTCTCTGTAGTAGAAGATCATCCAGGTTATGACCCAACCAATAATCAAGCCTCCTACAGCCAGAACAGCAGCTGCCCAGGCCGGTACAGAATCACTGGGGCAATCTGCGGGGAGAGGGGTGCCTGGTGCAACTGTGGTGGGTACGGCAGTTGTAAGGACGTCAGAGACACTGTTTATTCGTGTAAAGATGAAGGGATGCTCCTGGAGAAGATATGAAGAGAGATCATTAATTGAAAGACCATGCTTGGTTATGTTGTTCTGACAGTGGTTTCCATTGGATATTTACTCACCTTTGTGGGACACTGGATCTTACTGCGGTCATATGTGAAATTATTGTAGTTTTGTTTACTGCCCACAGGCTCCAGCTAAAACCAAAACACAGGACATTTGCAGTTAAATACAATAAAGCTGCTGTGAGATTGTGTGTATGTATGTGTATTTACCATGTTGTTCCAGAGCGCAATTGCCATCTCTGCATGTCCACGCTCAGCGAAATGAAAACAATCCACAGAGAAGATAGTCAGGTCTGGTGTGCCATCCTAAAGCAGAAAGATTCATCTCTTAACATTAGCCATGATACTGAAACTCTAGGTTTAAGCTGTTGTAGCGTGAGTTCAAATGCGATCTCTAAAAGCATTACATTAGCCTAACATATTTATATACATATTTAAACATTTTATATCTGAATGTATTGTTTATATGTGATCTCATGAGGCTCTATAGAGAGAGAGGTATTTTAAGGGTGCTGACTTCGACCATTAGAATAACAGAGTTCTCGAAGAAAGGCTGTAGCACCACTGCAAAGTCCTGTCTTCCGTCATACCGTCCCCCATACACCAGCCTTTCAGTCTCCATCTGACACAGAAAACAACACTTCTATTATTGAAGGTCAAGATAATCTAAAGCCCACTCAGATAGACAGTTATCAATGAACTGACAACTTGATTGGCTACAGACCTGCAGATCTCTGTTGACCTTCTTCATTTCATTTATTTCTGGAGAGTTCTCACGAGGTTCCAGAAAACATGGACAAATGTTCCTGTCACACACACAGTCATGAAAATGCTGTTGGTGTACATGAGAACATAAAAACTGAACACTGATTTTTAGATTAAATTGTTTATTTATTGATTGACTTACTCTTGCAGGAGGCTGCAGCCCAATGTGTCCCTCTTTATCATTCGCAGATCCTCGATCTCTAAGATTCCCACAAAATTTACCAGCACTCTGGGAACCTGCACACACACACACACACACACACACAAGCGCACACACACGCACACACACACACGTTGGGTTTTCATGTGTTTTATAGGGACATTCCATATGTGCAAAGGTTTTTATACTGTCCAAACTGTATTTTCTATCCCCTTACCCTAACCCTGCCCCTCAAAGAAAACTTACTGCTATTTTAGATTTTCAAAATCTCATTCTATATGATTTATAATCTTGTTATATAATTTCACATTTAAATATAAGTGAAAATGTGTAATTGTCATGAAAATAATGTCACTGTGCAAAAACCCTTAATTTTTTATGCAAAATTATTTTCTAACTAATAAGAATTTAATTTCTTGTTTTTTTTTTTATTTTGTGGGTGAAAGAAGATTCATGAATGTGATATGGATCAGTAAATGCATCTCTCTCACCTCATTGTACAGCATGTCCAGACTGTCTCTGATGTGACTGATGTACTTAGAAGGAGACAGAGAAGCCTGGGTAGAGAAAAACACAACACACTTTTATTTCCCAGCAAAATGTAATTGTTATTTGCTGGTCTTAGATACGAAAAACAACATTTACATGACACAGTGGCACATCTCTGTTTGTTAGTATCAGAATGGATTTTAGCTGCTTAAAGGTCACTGCTGACGCTGAGGTTCTCTGATGCAAGAAGAAACCATTTTTGATGGTGAGCTGAGAGCCTTTATTAAGAATCATCCACTCACCCGGTCGTGACAGTACTGGCAAAGGTCATTTCCCCCAATGAATAGTGTCACCAGTTTCCAATCCTTCTCAAAGTCCACTTCCTGAAAAATGAGAGTAAAAATTGAATAAATCAGATTCTTTATTGCCCTACAATAATTGGTGGGATATGCTTTGTGCAGCAAAGATTTGGCACATGCCTATTTTAAAATATATTTATAAATGACATGCAGAAGACAGCAAACAGTAATTTGTATGTATTTTTTATTTATTCATCACAAAATTATTTAGAGCAACACTGTAAAAACATAGTTTTTTCGAAGTTGTGATTAAAATGAAGATTATTGGAGTACATATTTCAAGAAAATGCTATTTCAGTTTTTCTACTGTAAAATTTCACATTTAATTCAATGTGTTACTTGTCATTTCTTTGTAAATGTTTGTAAAATTTACTAGCAAATTCTGAGTGAAAATGATTTCTGCAACAATTTTTTTTCTGTGAATTTAATAGATTAAATAAGCATACTAACCGTGCTATTCTTTAAAGCTGTGATAAGATCCCTCACTTGTGCTGGTATATTACTGAATAGAAAGAAAGAAATCATTAGCTGAGAGGATACTGTAAATTGTGTTTGCATGATATGTCTGTGTGTTGCTTACCTTGCTTTGGCACCGCTCACTGCCATATTGAGGCCATTTGGCCGTTTACTTTTCCCCTTTGAGAAGCCGAAAACATTTGGATTGAACTTCTTAAGAATGTCTGATAACAAATAATGACACAAGGCACTCATGATTATCATGTTATTAAACAAGAATCATATCTGATAATAAGGATCAGAGCCATTAGTCTCATTCCTACACTCTAAAAAATGCTGGGTTGTTTTAACCCAACTTTGGGTCAAATATGGACTAACCCAACTGTTGGGCTAAATTTTTCAATTACATTTTTAACCCTAAAGTTGGGTTAGTCCATATTTGACCCAAAGTTGGGTTAAAACAACCCAGCATTTTTT